CTGTCCGTACAATAAAAATTCGAATATTTTTAATGAAAATTCTTCAATTCAACAGTGAAAAAATATGAAACATTCGTTCTTAGGAACGGATGATAAAAAATGGTGGAAACGTTCGGACACCTCATTTTATTCGTCATGGAATCGATTTCTCGGAACATTCAGAATTTAACTAAAGTGATCATGAATAGGAGGATGGTCACGTATATATCGCACGATCCCGACTTTTAAAATGTTTTCTAGCGCTTTAAAATGAATAATCGCGTTCGAATTGAAAAGAAAAAAGGACGAAAAAATCAACAATAAAATTATTGCCAAATGAGTCATAATTTAGTGTAAAATTAGACTTAAATGAAGTAAAAAGTCTTGTTACCAACCGCAATTGTCGAAAAGGATTTCAACAAAACATAAAAAATTGTCGATTTAATTGGATGTATTGAAATTTCAGCGGTTGATAAATATCTCAAAATTGAAACAGAAAAAACTGCACAAATTTCGTGAATGTATTCTCTACAGCTCTCATTCCACTGTGGGAATACGGTTCATACACCCAGAAAAATAATTTATTCGAATCAAAGAAAGTTTATTTGAATCAAATAAGTAAGTGTACTTCAATAGTATGGAATTATCTAAATTAAATAGATTTTTTATTTGATCTAATATTTCTTATTTGACTAATAATTCATTATCGCACCGGGATTGAAATGGACTCAAAAGAAAAATTGAATGAGAAAAATGTATTAATTATCAGGGGAGAATAAGGCGAAATGAAACATAATTTTGAATTTGTTTCACAAAACGCATGAAAGTGATTGTTTTAAAATAAAAAAAATCTTCATTTGGAAACGAATGAAAATAATATCAATAATAATAGTAATAATAATAATAATAATAATAATGAAATGAATTGATTGTTTTCTCGAATTTAATAATAATTTTATTTAAAATTAATCAATTCTTTATTTGATACAATTAAATTCTTCCTTTTGAAACAAGCAAATAATGTCAAATAAAGATCTTTATTTGATTTCAATGAACCATTTTTTTGAGTGTAGGAAAATCCCCTTATATTCCTTCAGATTCAAGGATATTTATAAAAAAATCACTTTCAAATTCAATTGAGTCATTTAAATTCACCTCTCATCCACTAATTAATCAAAAAACCTATCCAGCAGATTCGTTTACACTCATAACCCTATAGTTCAGCATCAATTACTTGAATGTAATCGTTGAACTGTTTATTTATTGTTGCATGTCTATTCGTTGAAAACCCCCGTCCCTCCAAAAAATGGGACAAACGTCATCTTGTCAAATTAAAAATAGAAAACTGCATTTCTCGTGTGTCTAACCCACCACATTCCGTCCAGGAGACGTCCCGAAAGACAAAGAACAACAGATGATGGAGATCTCTTCCTGTTCTGCCACATCTCCCTAATTCCTTCGTAAACACTTTTTCCAAAAACAATTTCCAAATTTCGTAATTAATGGTGTCATGTGGATCTCCGACATGATATCCTTTCTTTTTAGTTATCAACAGCATTAAATACGAGCAGTGTTGACAGTCTCAATGTATCTAGCCTGATAATCATCGAGAAATTGAATAAACAATAAGCCTCAGACGTGGGCTTTCACGGTGTTACGAAAAATGGCCTGTTGTTTATTCTCCATCATGTAAAACCAGATGATAGAATCAATGATAAAACGATGATGTCTCATGTTTTGGAAACAATTATTCAGAAAAATTATGTCATTTTTTGGATAAAATCATTTACCGAAATTATAAATTTTGTACACAATTCTAATTCTAACTTTGACGAGTGGAAGCAATTAATCCATCAAAACCTTTCTTCAATTATTTTTTTCAAACAATAGTCGCTCGTTTGACTACACTGAGAGAAAAACAAACACGTTGTCAAACAAATCTTGTTTGGGCCAACAAAACCGCTAGTTGAAAATTGCCAAAAAAGAATTTGTTTAGTTCGAATTTGAAAGTCTCAAACATGAATAATTATTCTGCTTTCGACAGCAACGAAATATTTGGCTCAAGAGGCGGATAATTCACAACGGACGGTGCCTTTTCAGGATGAAAATATCTCATATAGATGAAAATTTATCAACAAATATTTTGTCCCTAAGTTACAAGATTGCTATCATATCATTACTATTGTTTCATTTAAGGGTTCATTTCTTGTCTGTGATTATTAGACAGCTGAAACGAGAAACTACTATCCCTTGTTTCGCATAAAACAAAGATTTTTCGGGAGTAAAAATACATATGGGAGTATCGAATAACGAAGTAGTGCTAGAAATGCAATTTTTTTTTAACTACTAAATCTATTTTCGCAACGAAAATTTTTCACTCTCTGCATGTTTGGCACAAAAAAATCCTATTTTGATAATTTTCAAAAAACTATTTTCTTGGCACAAGTAAGACTTGTTTGAGAACTTTGTCGTTTTTCTTTCACTGTAGGGTGACTCAACATGATGCGCCACTTCGGTAAGCATAGTTTTCATATTCGACATAGAATTCTTATTTATTTTTTTCTGATTGTTTGCTGTTTCTTTCTAGATTTTAACTTCGAGAAGTTCATTTTCTCATAAGACTTTGCATAAAATTTCAGCACTTCTGGATTAATTGTTGTCAATAATATTAGATTGCCGATTAAGCGCAAACTCAATCAAAATGTTCCTATTTATATTAACTCTCATTTAGAATTTATTTCAGATTGTAATTTTCAAAAGTCAAGTTATGTTTATACCATTTTGAAGGGAAGCTAACGAAATGTGAAGGCCTACGAGGGTATGAATATGACTGAACAAATAAATACACAACTATAACCCAATAATACTAATTAACAGCCACCAGTTGAGATTTTAATTCCAACATTTACTTGTATTAGGAAAAGTCAAAGTACCTCTCAGGGGGGGAAATTAGAAAAACGGTAATATCTCGAAAACTTTGTATGAAAGGGTGTTCATATTTCGATCGATTTTGTTAGGGGTACGAGTCTATTATATCCGACTGAAGGCATGCAACGGTTACTTTTTGCGTTATTAGTCTATTTCATTTTTTTCCTACCAATTCCATTGGAAGTGAGCTTCCGAATGGATTCGTAACGATTCCCGGTCCTTATGACAGGCATGTAGACATGTTTACAGAAAGATATTCAATCTTTTAATGAAACAGATTAATGCAAAAGATTAAGTAAGATAATCAATAAAGATATTTAATCTTTTAATGAAAAAGATTCATACATTCGATCCGAAATTGCTGGGCCGTTTGAACCCATCCAGAATACCAACCTTCAATATTGTAAGAGCTATAATGATACCAAATTTCAAATTGCTATTTTCATTTTTTCTCAAAGTATCGTGCGTACAAGATTTTTCACCAAAAACGGAAAAACGGCAATATCTCCAAACTGTGTATTAAAAAATCGATATGAAGCTGAAACTAACAGAATATTCATCAGTGGAAAATTCAATATAGAACGTACTTGGGTGTAGGAGAGTCAAATAATCATATGTACAAGTGTTTTTCAAGTGCGAAAGAGTTTGTACATTACTTAAAAACAATTGTACATCCCTAGATTTACTTAAGACAAATCTTCTGCTGTTGAATCTTTGGCTAGTTTCAGCTTCATAGAGTCTATATATTCTAATTGACTTACATGGAGGCCATCGAAACGAGTATTTTGAGAAAAAATGTGGAAATCGGTGCAGTAGTTTTTGAGATATTGAGGAAAATCAAAATTTAAACAAGTTGTTGTGTCTTAAGAACTACTAGGCCGATTGGACTGAAACAATGCGCCAAAATTGAGCTCAATAATAGCTACAATGAGCCAAAATTTCAGATTTTTATCTACAATTTCGCCGTATTTATATTGAATTTTCTAAAAATTAATCACCAAAAATCCAGTTGTCGGATACATACATACAGCCATGACCGTAAAAACATCATTTCTTCACGTTTCATAACATTCTAGACCATTTGCAATTAAAATTAGAAAATCGAAAAATCGGCCAAAAATAAGGCTTCACCCTGAAACTAGCGGCCGTATCCAGCGGCCGATGGTCCCGGGGACATTGAGAATTCAAGTGCAACTATTCCTTAATTTTCAAAGAAATGCAAACAGTGTGTATCGATGGCATTCTACACAATTTTCAGGCAAACCTAGGATAAACGGGTTAATTGCTGGACGGTTAAGGGAAATTTGAGTTTCGTGGTAGGATCTAAAATAAAAGAATCACTCAAATGGGGATATGATGGCTTCCATATCTTCCAGAATGTTTTAATTAGCAGAAAAAAATGATTTGAAGTGAAAATAACAAAACAAAGAATAATTAAATGAAAAAATAGTTGAATGCAGCCGAAACCCCCAATTTCTGAACGACTGGGTCATATTTTTTTTTATTTATTAAATATCAATCAATAGAAAAAATAAGTGATTCATTTTCATTTTATTTATGGAATAAGGGAGGATGGGGTACAATGGGCACTTTGGACTTTTTTAAAATTACTCATGACTCAGAAATAAATATAGCAATTGAGCTCAGTTTAGGCTCATCACAGAGGCAAAGAATTGTTCTTTGCATTGAAAAAAAAAAATTATTAAATTTCAGCAACATTTCAAGCTGTCATTAACATTTTTAAAAAAGTCAAAAGTGTCCATTTTACCCCAACCTCCCCTAGTCGATGCAAGTTCAAATCGTCTGAAATTGACCTGTTTACCCCAGATAATCGAATCCAACGATGACAAAGCATCCGTTCAAAGCGAAAATTTCCCAAAATTCGCAAGGACGAACGTACATTTCCCAAAGACCCCATTACATATCTTCAAGTTTGATGACCCTCTGCATCATCTCCACGTAAATTAAAAAATCACCACTAAACCCACTACCGACGAGTCTCCATTCGCCCACAAAGCGTAATTTTCATTAAAAAATCCCAGGCGATTCGAAAAAAACAAATAAAATAAAATCTGAAATCTCCCAAGACTCACCTCATCCCTCTATTCCACCATCGCCGGCCGCGTCACCAAAAAAATCCACAAAAACACCCGAAATCACCCATCACAACCCTTTGACAACTCTGAGTGCACCCGTACGTATCGGCTAACCAGTCGCAACTGTCTCGCTGAGAAGCTCACCGTATTTTAATCCCTCTCCTAGGGTTCTCTCTTTTGAAAGCGAACGGATGAGCGAAGTAACAAGGGGGGCCACGCGCGCGCTTGCTTTATAACTCGACAATCGACGCGTGCACTGCGCCGTGTCGCGCCGAACTCACGACTGGAAAACTTCGGCCTCTACTCTGTAGACTCTTTCCCGTTTGCATCCTGGGAATTCAACTTCTTTTCAACGAAGGAAAAAACCCCTCGATTAATCTGTCCCCCTCGCACTCCTGCGTCGCTCGCAGGCGCCATCTCTCCTGTATCCCCTCTCCTTTCTTTTTTCCCCCACCCGATCAACGGGACGACCACGTGCACCGGCCGGCACTGACCATCCATGGGGAATAAAAGAAAATAAAATGGGAGAGAGCAAAAAATAGGGAACACACCCAGAAGCATGTGCACACCCCTTGCTAATCACCATAATGCACGTGTCTTGTTTGATTGGTGGAATTAAAAGTCGAAGAGGGCAGAGGTTGAGGGAGTGACATGCATGAAAGAATTTCATAGGAATATCTGGAGAATTTGATGGGGAATTGTACTAGATTCCTATTGAACTTCTATTGGAAATTCTGTTAGGTTTGCGGTCTATTGAAGAATTCCGCAGGTTTACTAGGCGTTTTTTAATAGAAAATATCCAATCAATATATCCAATATTCGATAATCTGAATAACAGAAATATCCAATGGCCCGGTTGCACCAGCTCCGGGTAGCGAAAACGTCAGATAAGAAAAAAAGTAAATTTGGATGTTCGATGGATTATTTTAGAGGGAGAGTATCTCAAATTTATTCCAGGAACAGACCAAAAAAATTTAATCTCAAGGTTAAATCAGTGTTAATTCAAATAGGGCTACAGGATAAATAAAAAATTATTCTTCGGGTCCAATATTGAAAAATTATGACCCCTACGATATAATTGACCCCGAGGATAAATTTTACCCTGGGGTTTGTACCGGGCCAATATCTGATATTATAGAAAAAATATCTATTTTTGCGACAAAAATTTTTCATTCCGGCGCACTATCGGTCTGTTCGGCACCAAAAAATCCATTTTTGATAATTTTCAAAAGACTATTTTCTTGGCACAAGTAAAACTTGTTTAAGAACTTTATCGTTTTTCTGTCAGTGTAGCGAATTCCCGGGGTTTTTCGATCAGATTTTTCGTACGTCGAGGATTACAATGTTGGTAGATTTGGGCGGAGAGGGTTGAGGTGAGGGGTGAGACAGAGGCTGTGCTCCATTCACGTGTGCTCGGCGAGTTGCCAGGGAGGGAGAGCAGACGGAGGGACGCTGGCTGTGGTCCCTTAATCAATACTGGCGTTCCTCACCAACGGTATCTCTGGAGCTGTCTGTGTCGATATCCCTGACTTTCATGGAGCATGAAAATTTTAGGGAAAATTGGTTGGTGGTTGGGCTTTCAGCGATTATTTTGGCGAGAGTTTCTATGGGGAGACGAGGGATTGGTGGTGGTTTTGATGGGTAGTTTGATTCTGGAAGAATTGAGGGAGAGGAAGGATTTAATTAATTCTGTAGTGAGGTTGTCATATGGGATGAGATGGCATGTGATGTTTTATTGATAATGAAAGTAGTTGAATACTGGTTGAGCTTTAGGGGGAACTATTCAGGGAGAGGAACCATTTTTATGGGGACTTAGAAGCTTCGTACAACCGATAATTGAACTGAAATACAGTTCTCATTTACTTTTCTCCGAAATTCAGAATTTTCGATCATAAAATTCCTTGAAATCTCAGCTGAACTTAAATGTGATAAAAATTTCCGGAAAGGGGACTGGAAATACCAGCAAAAAATTTTCGACAGTGTAGAAATTGCTGGATTGGTACTCGAAAATTGAGGGTCATCTATATAGATAAAAATTTATTCAGAATATCTGAAAATCTCCTTTTGAGATTTTCGAAAATCTCAATTTGAGATCATAAGTCTACCGACGCCTGAGAAAAATTTCAATGGTAATTTTAACTACAAGGGAATTGTCAAAGAAATTATATTTACAGTAACAATAAACTTTGTAGATTAAACTAGGATTCACCTTTCGATTTACTATGTCACATAGTGTGATCAACATTATGATGTAATTGACACTTTAATCTAATAGTTGCATCTACAATGTTTATTGTTATCGTAACCATTATTTTTTTGACAATTCCGTTGCAATTGAAATTACCATTGAAATTTCTCTCAGTGTAGTGTGCGAAAGGTTGTGAGTTCGATTCTGCGTGGAACCGAATTTTTCAACGAAAAATTCGGCTCCCGCGAGCGGGATGTTACTAATAGAGTAACCGCTTGTACCGGCATGGGTTTCCTGTGGTTTCCCATGCTACTCCTATGTTCTATAGGAGCGCGAATGCGGTACAGAGTAGAATCCACAGCCGCATGCATGCGGTTGGATAGAGTGCCGAAATGAGACTCGAAAAGAGGACTCAAAAAGCCGTAAAAAAAAGATCATACCGTGAGTGTCCCAATTGCCGCATGGTTAAGAATATTCTACCAGACAATAGCGTTTAATTTGTGTTTTTTTTTGTAATTATGAATTCTGAAGGTTCATGAGTCATCTTTGATCATTTCTTGACAAAAAGACATTCGATTTCAACTTTAATTCCGAAGAATTCGATAAATATTCATAAAAAATCATTATAGCTCTTATGGTCGAGTTCTCGGACGACTAAAACTGACCTAGCCGGGTTGCCGGATATCGTGTGCCCGATTCTCGGACACAGTGAAATAGACGCAGAGAAATATAGGAAATCAGTTGTGAAAAGTATATTAAGTGTAATTTTATTACTATTTCAACAATGATAAACTGTGATCAACACAATAATAGACAAACAAAAACGTTGAGACAATAAAATATTTGAGTTTATGGTTCATTTAGAGGGATTTTTTCGGGAGGGCTGTGAGAATCGTTAGCGTCTCCACAACTATTATTTAAAAGTTCTTTTTTTTTCATCCCAGAGTCCTTCCTGAATTGACAGTCTTCAGAGATTTCCGCAAGTCCTCATTGGTATATTTGCGGGCTTTTTTTTCTGTATTTCCAGGCCTAGAAGATTCAAAAAAATAGATGAATTTGTTATATTCATGGGTTTTCTATGAATTTTTTTCCTGCGTGTCCTCCCCGTAGAGATAACATACCACTTTGGGGACTGTTATCTCTACTCGTAAATATCTTTAAATATCGTAAATATCTTCATTACAAAATTCCCTATTAAATTATCTTTTCAGTGAATGAGAAATGACACATTTTAAAGTAATTTTCAATTCATCTTCCGTGACGTTTCCCCGTGAAGATAATTACTCCTATGTGTTTATTAACTGTAGACATTACAATTGTCGTATACCAAAACCGGAAGTCTAGTTAAACTAAGAAGAGAGGCCTCATACGCGTTTTGTCGTGTAAACACTGGAGAAAATTACCTCTCGGTGTGTGGAACGAACGACGCGAGGAGCTATCAAATGTCGTTAAAGTAGTATAAACATAAGTGGAATTTTGATGATTAAAATCGGAAATAAATTCTAAACGAAAGTTAATATGAATAGAAACTTCCGTTGTACTCAATCGGCGGTCTAATATTATTGATAATAATTAATCTAAAAGGAAAATTCCAGAATTTTAAGCAGTATAAAGACGAGAATTCCTCAATTTATTTGAATTTCTAATCTAATATGAATATTGAGTGCCAAATTACATTGAATTTTCAGTGAAATCTGAAATTTCATGATTTTTTTCTCCCTGAAGTGTATTCAGTGTCACTGTCCTGAAAAGTCAAGAATTTTTACCAGAATTTTCCGGTTTTTTATTCATTTTTAGGGAAAAATGAAACGGAAATTGACAGTTCTCTTTGATTTTTCCACGAAATTCTGAATTTTCAATGACGAAATTCCTTGAAATTTCAGTGGTAATTAAATTCGATAAAAATTTCCGAAAAGTGTACCGGAAATTTCAGATAAAATTTTTTAATAGTGTAAAACTTGTTTGACAACTCTACTGTTTTTCTCTCAGTGTAATCCTTCGTCTTGCTTATTACTTTTATTATTCAATTCCACTTATTTTCCGGGAAAAATGAAAAATGCGTAGTCAATGAAGAAAAAAGAACATGAGGTATGGATGGGCGGCGGTACGTGGTACGACTCCGTAAACCGTAACGAGTGGAGGTTGTGTGCTGTGTTTATGTATGCAAGTGATTTTTTTTCATGAAAGGAAAAGGCAGAGGATGTGAGGTACCCTCGAGGCACTTTTGTTCCGGTTCAAAAGAAAATTATAATGCGAATTCTTTACTCCTTCGCTTATTGACTTTTTACCCATTTGTTTGGCTATTTGCTGATGCCATTGGAGGAGTGATCAATAAGCGTGAAGTGATTGATTTTTCAGCGGTGAAGTTTCACTGCCAAATCAATGGATCCGCTCATCTTTTTGCCAATAACTTTCGACATCTCAATTGTTTGTCCTGAATAGGTAATAACCGCGGTCGCAATTGTACCGTAAGTAGTCCGAAACGTTTTTAGTTTAGTTATTGTCAAACGCGAGAGTTCTCAAGGACATTCAGGGGGAAGTACCAAGACGTAATGTGGTAATTAGTCGTATCTTTGTGGGAATGTGGAAGTAGTTGATCATCGATGATTCTACGAGAAAATGTTGATGACATTTTTTGTCGAACATTTTCTGATCTAGGGTAGATGGTGCCTGTACTGCTCAGCGGGTACAAAATATTTTTTCTTCTTTTATTATGTAAATATTTGATAACAACAAGTAATTTCCACAGAAATTTTCAATTTCCTCCGGTGGAAATATCGTTGAAAAAAAAACCAAGTCATTTCCTACTGAATTTTTAAAATATTTCGACCCCAGAATTTAAGATTTTTCAAATTTTCAATTGGTCAATAATTGAATGGAGTGCGAAATATATGTTTGTTATACATTTCCGCATCCATTGCGACCTTTTCGATAGCAGAAAAATATCTTCATCAGTTATTATTGGCTATTTTATCAGCATCCGCGTTTGTGGGGAATTCCGCCCAGAATTTGTGGGTAATGCCGCCCAGGGTTTCTATAGGGCTGATATAGACTCTGCAGCTAGAGGGCGGTCGAGTGAAAGCTCGATTGTGTGGGGTAGTCGGTGGCCACTGGAACATCGGGTAAATTCAGGATAATTTATTATTATTCACGTGAAGTCTTTCTCAAAATGGAGCCAAAGAATGGAAACGAAGGATGAAAATAGGAAAAATTATAACAATTGGTCTGCTTTGATGTCATTGATTTTTTATTTCATAGAGAATTTTCCTCCAATCTTTACTCGATTTAGAAATATTTCTCTCACAGACATCTGATTGTGCCCTATAATCATTCATTTGACATTTGGACTTAATTCTTTTTCCTTTTTTTGTATTTTTCAAAATTCAGAGTATCAGTTATTACCTTTTCGCTAGAATAGAAATGAGTTTCAACTGAATATTCATCTTTGATCTCCAGATTTTGTCTAGCATTCCACGGGTAGAACTTTTTGTTGAGAGCTGACGGATAGTTCAGGTGTACCAAGGTATCAGATGGTATATTTGTCTCGTGACAGAGATATATACGTAATTCAGGTGCTCAGAGAACCTCCGAAGATTTTCTGGTACCAGGAGCTGCCAGTTAGCGTGCCACAGCTCTGTCCTGGGCTCTTCGTCATGCACAGATCATTACGATCATATAGTTCTATTGATTGCCGGGCCGGAATTCATCTCACTTTTATGAAAACTAGTGTATTTATTGGGGTCCGTCTTACGACTGTCCAATTTCATTAATTGAAATTGACATTTAGACAATAAATTGTAGACAATTTATGGATATCTTTATCAAGATCATTTTATTCTCTAAAAAAATTAAAAATGTTGTCAACTCGTTCAAAAACATCGATGTTTGAACATGAAAAATCAATGTTTTCAATTAATCGACCAACATCGCGCATCCTTTTCCTCACAAGTTTTAAAACAGACGCTTTAACCCTTCAGAACTCGCGCTCAGCCAGCGACCTTCGTTACTCGCGTGGTGAGCGCTGCGCCGCCCGTGCTTTCAGTAACGCAGCGTTGTCACGTTCATTGGTACGCGCCGATCGTGCGGCGAGCGGGAAACAGCAACAGCGGAATTGAAAATTTTACATCCTTCGTTACTCGCGCTGGGCGGCACGGCGCCGCTTTTGCGTATGAGCCTCACCAATTTATTATTTCTCGTAGCCTTGATGGATTTTCAGCGGATAAGAACCTTGCTAATCCATTCTAAATGATTCAAGCTGGGCATTCTAATTTTTTCAATTTTTTGAAAGCTCAATTTTGCAAGAGGCAAGCGAAAATTTGAAAAAGGCGGCGCGGCGCTTATAGCGCGAGTTCTGAAGGGTTAACAGTCGATGACTTACCTGCGGAAAAACTAACTGACCATGGTGGCTGATTTCTATTGAAATCTTCTTTGCCTACCATCTGATAAATGACGGTATTCTGCCTTTTCAAATGAAACAATATTACTACAATTTCGGAGCGATGACGATTGAGGGAGGCGCCTTCTACGGTTCATAATACTTAAATTACAATTTAACAATTTTTTCGTGCAAATTGCAGTAGGTTTCCGATTTTTATCTCACAGCATTCAAGAGTAAAATATTTGATGGTTCAGATTTTTGAGCCTTTATAGGTATTAATGCAGTGAATTTCCGGCAATCCTGATTCAATCAACCGGGGGGGCTCCGTTCATACTTCCAAGACTGTAGTATAAATATCCCCGACTGTGCATAGACTTGTGAAAAGTCTGAGGGAAGAAATGTACATAAATTCAAATGCACATCAAAAAAACTGTCCATAACCACATCTGTCCACCATCCTTGCAGTCGGCCAAACAGTATCGGTAGAGTAGAAATTGCATTTGTTTTATTTGCAGTCGATATTAATTATGGATGGCGCCCTGTGTCCCACTATAGCGCAAATGATCGTCGAACAAGGTCCGCGATTCTACCGGGTGTCCACTGTTAATTACATGCATATGTATCCCAAGTAGACTCTTTTGAATTAACACTGCGTAGCGCAGTCTCATTTGTATTGAGACATCAGTATCATTGAATGGTTTAATAAAATTGAAAATGCAAATAAACTCGCTGTGAATTTATATAATTTTATCGAAGAGTAATTACTGGAATTTTAAAAGAAATATTTCAATGTTTGATTTTGAGTCAACGGCTGAGCCTCACCCTGTTGGACATTGCTGGCGATTTTTTTCTGGGTCGAGAAATGGCGTGCAGATTACTCTAATGTTGGTTTTGAACCAGGAGAAACTCCTAGACCCCACTGGACAATGTTGTCACAACTCTGCTTTTCAATTGAAAACAGATATCATCTTTAGAGACACTTGTCATGTTTAGAGGCTCTAGCACGTCTTTTCTCGAGCGGCTCTTTCATTTGAGCCCAAAAAAACATTCATATCTTGTCTGACATCTCTACTACAAACTCTGGTCATCAACTCTGGTTTTCAGTTGAAATTGGAATTGTTAATTTACACAATAATAGGAGTGCATTGACGATTTTTTCTTAACTCGCAAAAATCTTCAAACAATTTGCTACCGATTGGTGATAAATTTTTTTGGAAATAATGAAATACGGAGGATAACGCCTTTTTTTTCAGGGGTGATTTTTCAAAAATTTATTTTAAAAAAAGTACTAACTAGCAAATGTTTTTTATTAGCTCGCAATTTTCTTCAAAACTATTTCAATGAGGAAAAAAATAAAAATTTGGAATATCTATACATGAGGGGCTAATTGATCGGATCTTGACGATCATTTGTCGTGCAAATAGTGGGACACATGGCGCTCTCCACAATTAATATCAACTACAAATTAAACGAATGCAATTTCTACTCTACCGACACTGTTTGACCGACTGCAAGGACCGTGCACAGATGTGTCGTGTACAGTTCTTCCCTCACATTTTTCACAAATTTGTGGACAGCCGTGGATGTGTACAGTTGCGGAAGTAAGAATGGGCCCCCCCAGCCACCCCCCTTCAATTCGCCCAAATACACTTCAGCCCGCAGTCGCCGGTCAGCTGCGAATGATTTTTGGCGTGACTGGAGTGTTCTTGTTGCATAAAAACTCGTGAAATGTCAGACAGCTCTGAGGACAGCCTCGAGGATGGGCCCTGGGTGTTGTACAAAAATCGTGACGAGTGGAAGGACGTTGTGCCAGTGCCACAAGATGATGGACCCCACCCAATTGTTGCCATCGCGTACTCGGAGAAATGTAGGTTTGGGTGATAGTTCTAACCTTAAAATTAATTCTTTCATGATTGCGGTTGTTTTATTCAAGGCCCGAGTGGATTATCTTTCGAACGTGATCTTGATTTTTTTATTTTGATACTCTTATGCATTGTCCACTTGTCATTCAGTATCAGAGTGCTAGATTTGCCAAAAATTATTGTAAAATGAAGAAGAAGTAGAAGAAAGCGGAACATTCTTAGAGAACGTTTTTTAAGAATTATTAAGGTATAAATTCCACGGCGAGAAAGTTGCAAATTAATAATTTAGAAATTTGCATCTGAGTGATTAATGTAACTTCATAATTATCATTTTCCTAATTTAGGCCCCGTTGCACCAAGCCCTGTTATCCCAATAAACCCCAGGGTAAAAGTTATGCTCCGGGTCAATTATATCGTAGGGGTCATAATTTTTCAATATTTGACCAGAAGAATAAATTTTTATTTATCCTGTAGCCCCATTTGAATTAACACTGATTTAATCTTGGAATTAAATTGCATTTTTTCTTCCTGCGATAAATTTAAGATACTCTCCCTGGTAAAATAATCCATCAAACATCCAAATTTACTTTTTTTCTTATCTGACGTTCTCGTTCCCCGGAGATGGTGCAACTGGGCTTTAGGATTTTAACAAAATTTAAAGTCTGGATTTTTCTTTTGAACGTGATTTTGATATTTGAATAATTTGGCTAAGGCCTGAGGTTTAGTTGCACCAATACACTTTAGGGTAAAATTTATCCTCATTTGAGTCAACACTACTTTTACCCCGGGATTCATTTATATTTTTTGTTCGCGGAAAAAATTTTAGGTACTCTTCCTGGTAAAAAAAATCCACGCAACATGCAAATTTATATTTTTCCTTAACTGACGATTTAGTTAACTGCAGCTGACTATCTACTAACTAAATCTACTTTTTCCTTATAACTCATTAATTTTTAATTATTCATATGAATATGAACACACATCTCTGATATTTTTCATCCAATTCTGGTATTCAATAATGAAAAAAAATTGAAAGCCCTAATTCGTGCACTGAATATCAGTCAAAGATACTTATGACGACTTTCGAGAAATTTTAAAATCCGGAGAAAAGTAAATATGTGAGAATCAGGAATTCACTTATTGCATTTTTTGTATTTGTTGCAACTGTAAAAATTACATATTTAATTAAATATAGCTATTTATCTGAAGTTATTTTATTTATTTCCACAATATTTTTGTTGTGAATTTATACTCGTATATTTATTTCAATGAAAATTACTATTATAATAAATCAATAATTCATTCATTCAAAGTAAATCCTTTATTAAAACGAAATAAGCAACTTATTTGATCGAAATAAAGGATTTTGACATTTTAATAAAGTCGTATTCTCCACTATCTAAACAGTGCTTCCATTTTCAACAACAAAAGTCTTGATTTGGATCAAAAAACATTTTTTTATATTGAAAAAACCATTTGTCTGGTTCAAATCAAATATATTACATTCCGATAAACCATTTCTCATAGTTTCAAATATTATTTGAATAATTTAACTCGGACAAACGTTATACTTTCTTCCTACAACTCATAATATTTTCATTCTTCACATAAATAAAAAAATACATGTCTAACATTTATCATGCAGTTTTGATATTCATCGATAAAAAAAATCAAATTTCCAATTAATTCACTGAATTCCAGTCAAAGATACTTATGACTACTTCCGGGCAATTTTAAAATCCGGAGAAAAATCAGAACGAGCTCTCGCCCTCACCACCGACTGCATCTGGCTTAATCCAGCTAATTACACAGTCTGGCAGTATCGTCGTGACATTCTGAAGGCTCTTGGAAAGGATTTGAGGGAGGAATTGAAATACATTGACTCTGTGATTGACTCGAACCAGAAGAACTACCAGGTCTGGCATCACCGGAGGGCCATTGTCGAGTGGCTGCAGGATCCCAGTCAAGAGTTGGAGTTCACTGCTCGGATTCTGGAGAAAGACGCCAAGAATTATCACACCTGGCAGCACAGACAGTGGGTGCTAACTGCTTTTCGGTCTGTATTCATGGACTTCTTAATACATCCTAAATATTGAATAATTGAATATTATTATAATTACAATTTTACGCTAATAAAGCAATGGGATTTTATGATTTTTCTTAAAAAATTACCATTGTGAAATTAAAAAAAAGTTGAAACAAGCAGGGAACAGCAAGCATATGATAGTGCGCCATGTGACAATGAGCATGGCACAGAGTGACATGCAGGTTTTCTGTTCAAATTTCAAGTTGATCTCTCGATTTTTGCACAAGCTAGTGTTTACAAGGTTTTTTTTATGAAAAAACAGAAAAATGCGAATATCTTGAAAACTTTTCATGAACTGGTATGTGTGTTTTAATTGATCTAGACAGAAGGCATCAAAACGAATGTTTTGAAGAAAGAAAAAGTGAAATCGGTTGCGTAGTTTTGAAGATATTCCATGTAAATGATCTTTAGAAAAAGTCGAATATCTTCGAAACTACTAATGCGATTGAACCCATCTTCAATACGAAACATTGTTGTCATGAGAGAAAGATTCTGTCCAAATTTTACGTTCATATCTCGATTTTTGCGCAAGCTAGAGTGTTTACAAAGTTTTTTTTATGAAAAAACAAAAACGGGAATAACTCAAAAACTTTTTATGAGCGGGTGTACATGTTTTGATTGATTTAGATAGAAGGCGTCGAAACGAATATTTTGAAACAAAATAAATCAAAATCGGTTCAGTAGTTTTGAAGAAATTTGCGGAAAACGATATAAAAATGAATGGCTTATTCTCAAAAACTATTAGCTCGATCGGGCTGAAATTTTGCACAGAGCTAGTCCTCATTAGGACCTATAATCTGACAAAATTTCAGATTTTTTTGAGTTACTTTAGCTATTTAATTACTCCATTTTTGAATAATACTAATACGAAAAAATGTTTTTCCATAATTTTTCGCAAATGAATAGATAGAATTCAATCATTTTTCTCTTCAAATGTCGGTATTGATTAGCCTTATCCATTGACATTAATTAAATTTCAATTCATTCTCCAAATTTCTTCGAATATGACGTTTCAAATTCATTCCATTACGCATGAAAAAACTTTTCCTACCATTTTATGCAACAAATCCTTTGTTTAATTATTTTCAGGCTCTTCGATAAAGAACTAGAATACGTGGAAGGATTATTAAAAGAAGATGTGAGAAATAACTCAGCCTGGAATCAAAGATACTTCGTTCTGAATCATACAACCAATTTTGAACCAGAAGTTGTAGACAGAGAAGTGGATTTCACGTTGGAGACAATTGATATTGTCAAGGGAAATGAGAGTGCGTGGAACTATCTCAGAGGGTGAGTCATCACTAATTTAATAAGAATCAATAGCGAATATTTTCAGATAAATCGCCTCCAATTTAAGGGAGAAAACACAATTATTAGACTTTTTTTAGAGAGAAAATGAAGAGTAATAAAATATTCTTTCCGATATTTTCTGACATTTTTCTCTTTCGCAAGTTGAATTCTCAATACTTTAAAAAAACATTTCATTCTATGAGTAATTTATATTGGATTCAGGGTATTAATACACGACGAAAAAGGAGGACTTGCCTACAACGAAAAAGTCCTGAAAAAATGTCAAGAATGGTACAACAACGGCTGTCGTGTCAATCATCTCTTAGCATGCATCATCGATATTTGTCAGGAGAGATACAAGAACGAGCCCACAGAATCCCTATTCCATATAAACAATGCCCTCACGGTACGTATTTTCCGAAGAAAATAAAAAATAAGGAAAAGAAATTCTTTACTTTTTCATTCACAAAAAAAGTAATTAACACTTGAAGTAATTCAGTCATTATTATTACTTAGAAAGTAATCTTTACTTTTCACGTAATAATCACGAGTATTAATACATTCAACAGAAATAATTTTTCAAAACTTATTTAAAAAACCTTGAAATAATTTTTACAGCTCTGCAAAGAATTATCCGAGAAACACGATAGAATACGCAGGCGGTATTGGGACTATGTGACCCAGCAATTGTCTGAAAAACTTAAAACCGCTTGTTGAATCGTTAAATGAACATCCCCTTGTCCATGTGTTCCAAAAAAATATATTGAATAAACTGAAAAGGAATTTTTTAAATGTACAAAACCACTTGCAACGGAATCGAATGTTCAATTTATTGATCCTCTTCCTTTTTTTTGATATATTTGGTGTGTGTGTTTTGTTTCGCTATTCGACGAGCGGGGGGCGGGGGGGGGGTCGTTTGTGCAATCTCAGGTGGACACATTCCATTTTGGACACATTCTAAGAGAAATCGCGACACTACGGGAGGCGCTGGAACAGGTGGACACGGAAATTTGTGGACACATTCGCGGATAGGCAGATTCCGATGAGGTCCCCGATACCCTGTTATGATTATTATAATTATCATCTAGAATTCGCATATCATAAGATTTATTTATTTATTTATTTATTTTTACCCTTCTCTGTGCCAATAATTTAATGCCTTTTTTTAAAAACACAGCGCATCTTTGAAATATTTTTTTTTTTGCATAATAGTGGCAAACAAATAGCGTTCGCATGTGACAATGCGCATAATTAAAGAAAAAAATTTTTTTTTCTTTCAATACGTATTTTACTAATAGTTAAAATGTAGAATTAAAATTCTATTAATAAAGTTTAAACTCGAGAGCTGCTATTCAGCCGTAAGTTTATATATTAAATCCCAATACTGTACATTAATTTTTTATAAACTAGTTTTTATATATGTAAATATTGTAAATAATTGTTTTTATCTGAATAAAAGCATTATAATTGTTAAACAAAAAAAAATATTCTGATGAGGTGGTTAAACAGGGCTTGATATTGCAGATGTCCTCTGAAAAAGTCTTACCCAATCGACATGTTTAGTACAGCGGCACGATGAAAGATGGCGGGATTATTCTCTTTTCAAATGGAATTACTAACTGAATCGAACTGGCCATCGGGCAGTAGAATATAATAAGTTGAATCCGCCAGTGGAGAAGGAAATGAGCTATTAGCAACGAGAAAAAGGTTTTGTACGGCGCATTTCGAAATGACGGCGATCTTTTGACCGGTAATCATCAATTTTGGGCGAAATTTTTGTGCACGCTGGGAGGCGCCAGAAATTTTCATTTTTGACGAAAAATTTTCATTTTTACCTGGGGCCAGAGTGTCAGATCTTGGAATTTTCCAGGGGGAAAGTCGATTTTCGGCAAAATTGAATTTTTTCGCCAACTGAAGGTTGAGAAAACTGAAGAGTCTTTCTAAAAAAGAAATGTTGAACGACTGAAAAGGGATTTTTTTAATGTATAAAACCACTTGCAACGTTCATTTGCCTATTTTATTCATGAAATAGTCATATACTTCCAGTTTTTCTCACCCTAAGAACCTTTATTGCAGGTTTTCATATTTTCTGCCAAAGGACCACTCAATATTTTCGATATTTGAACGGAATCGAATGTTTAATTTATTGATCCTCTTCCCTCTTCCTGATATATTTGGTTTGGGTTTTNTTTGGACACATTCTAAGAGAAATCGCGACACTACGGGAGGCGCTGGAACAGGTGGACACGGAAATTTGTGGACACATTCGCGGATAGGCAGATTCCGATGAGGTCCCCGATACCCTGTTATGATTATTATAATTATCATCTAGAATTCGCATATCATAAGATTTATTTATTTATTTATTTATTTTTACCCTTCTCTGTGCCAATAATTTAATGCCTTTTTTTAAAAACACAGCGCATCTTTGAAATATTTTTTTTTTTGCATAATAGTGGCAAACAAATAGCGTTCGCATGTGACAATGCGCATAATTAAAGAAAAAAATTTTTTTTTCTTTCAATACGTATTTTACTAATAGTTAAAATGTAGAATTAAAATTCTATTAATAAAGTTTAAACTCGAGAGCTGCTATTCAGCCGTAAGTTTATATATTAAATCCCAATACTGTACATTAATTTTTTATAAACTAGTTTTTATATATGTAAATATTGTAAATAATTGTTTTTATCTGAATAAAAGCATTATAATTGTTAAACAAAAAAAAATATTCTGATGAGGTGGTTAAACAGGGCTTGATATTGCAGATGTCCTCTGAAAAAGTCTTACCCAATCGACATGTTTAGTACAGCGGCACGATGAAAGATGGCGGGATTATTCTCTTTTCAAATGGAATTACTAACTGAATCGAACTGGCCATCGGGCAGTAGAATATAATAAGTTGAATCCGCCAGTGGAGAAGGAAATGAGCTATTAGCAACGAGAAAAAGGTTTTGTACGGCGCATTTCGAAATGACGGCGATCTTTTGACCGGTAATCATCAATTTTGGGCGAAATTTTTGTGCACGCTGGGAGGCGCCAGAAATTTTCATTTTTGACGAAAAATTTTCATTTTTACCTGGGGCCAGAGTGTCAGATCTTGGAATTTTCCAGGGGGAAAGTCGATTTTCGGCAAAATTGAATTTTTTCGCCAACTGAAGGTTGAGAAAACTGAAGAGTCTTTCTAAAAAAGAAATGTTGAACGACTGAAAAGGGATTTTTTTAATGTATAAAACCACTTGCAACGTTCATTTGCCTATTTTATTCATGAAATAGTCATATACTTCCAGTTTTTCTCACCCTAAGAACCTTTATTGCAGGTTTTCATATTTTCTGCCAAAGGACCACTCAATATTTTCGATATTTGAACGGAATCGAATGTTTAATTTATTGATCCTCTTCCCTCTTCCTGATATATTTGGTTTGGGTTTTATTTTATTATTCAATTACTAATAGTACATTAGAGTACAAGGGCACAAATTTCGTTTTCAACGAATGTGTAGTTTACAGGCCGAGCCGAAGGCGAGGTCTGTACACACATTCGTTGAAAACGAAATTTATTACCGAGTGCTCTATAATATTTTATGTCAAGTCGTGCAGAAGTCGAGTTTTGAGCAGGCTGCGCGAAGCGCAGCGTGCGATAAACTCGACTTATTGCACGGCGCGACATAAAAGAAATAAATCCGCCCTTTTCTATAATTCATCGCCTATTCATTACAATATATTTAATTGGTCTAGCATCATTTGAGAAACTGATCTTCAGGTGAAATTGAACGACACTTTTATCGAAGACTTACCTCGAGTCAAATTTAATTTATTGAGAAAACTGAAGTTTGTCTAAAAAAGAAATGTTGAACGAATGAAATAGTATATTTCAGCACGTGTGGGGCAATTTCGTCTTTAACGTGTGTGGGGTTTACAGCATGAGCCAAAGGCGAGTGATGTAACCACAGACGTTAAGGACGAAATTTCCCAACAAGTACTGAACAAAATTTTATGTCACGAAGCCTGAAACCGGGTGAATTAGACACGAGACGCGAAGCGTCGAGTGCTAATGAAATTTTCATCATCTCTCTTCAATTTCGAGATTTTTATCAAAATCGCTCCTGGCGTCGAAATTAATTTATTGAAAAGGGTCAGGGGTTTTTACGAAAAATCTCAGGAGCTTGATGAGATAATAAAAAAATTCTAAGGACATTTTCCGTAGCCCTCGAAATTCTCTACGAAAAATATTTTTATTAGACACGAGACGCGAAGCGTCGAGTGTGTAATCCAGCCGGTTTCAGGCATGAGTGGCATAAAGGTATTTTTTAAATATACAAAACCACTTGCAACGTTAATTCATCTATTTTATTTATAAAATAGTTACATACTCCCAGTTTTTTTGTAATACAATAACTAATAACATAATAATTGGTTTGGCATAACTAAGATGACTTTGAACGTAGCAACTCCATTGACTTTAGTTTCTCATCGAGACTGAGAGATTTTTTTCATCTTCGTTTGTTCGTTAGTAAGCAATTTTGAACGAAAAAATTACAGTTTCAAAAGCAAATGTTGCACAAGCGTACGAATGACAGGCAGTGACTGCATTACCCGGGGCCAATTGCATTTTGTAAATTGCATTTGTAGGCAAATAAAATTCATCAGCGATAAGTTAATTCTCCGAGTTTTTTTTTCTTCGTTTGGGGTATGATTTTAAACTCTTGTTGATTATCTACCCTAACATTTAACAATCAACATCCAAACAATTATTTTACACACTCGATTTCCGGGCTGGCAGGTGCGCGCAGTTTTGGTTGTTCTTGTGGGTGATAGGTCGATTCGGTAGTGGAGGTCAGCTTTTCGTGGATATTTTGGGGAATTAAGGAGGTGGAGAACATTTTAGGGGAATTTTTTTGCAAAAGAAGAGCTTTTTTAATTTTTAAGGACATTTTTTAATTTTCAGTTTTTGATGGATATCGCAAAATCTCGAGGAGATACCGAAATTTTTATAGAATCTTTTTTTTAGAAAATTTCAAGGGCTACAAAAAAGGTGCTAATGAAATTTTCGTCATCTCTCTTCAATTTCGAGATTTTTATCAAAATCGCACCTGGCGTCGAAATTAATTTATTGAAAAGGGTAAGGGGTTTTTACGAAAAATCTCAGGAGCTTGATGAGATAATGAAAAGTTAAAAAGTTCTAAGGACATTTTCCGTAGCCCTGGAAATTCTCTACAAAAAATATTTTTACAAAATTTTCGATATTTCCTGTAATTTAAGATATATTTGGGAAAACTCATATTGAGATAAAATTGATTGAGATTATTAAATTTTCAGTTTTCGATAAATATCCCAGAATCCGAGGGAAATAAATTTTTGTGAGGACTTTTTTCAAAATTTCAAAAACCACAAAAAGAAGTCCTGATAAAATTTTCATTACTTCACTTTAATTTCGAGATTTTTATCAAAAATTCATCTCGAGTCAAAAATAATTGATTGTAAACAGTCAGGTGTTTTTATAAAATATCTCAGAATCTAAACGAGATAATGAAAAAGTACTAAGACCTTTTAAATAGCCCTTGAAATTCTCTATAAAAAAGATTTGTTCAACATTTTCGATATTTCCCTCAATTTGAGAGATATTTGGGAAAAAACAATTTGAAGCGAAAGTTATCTAGAGTTCTGAATTCTCAGTTTTTTATAACTTTTCAGTTCTCCCTAACAGATCCGAGACACTCCACCGCATAATTATCGCCAAATAAAATACATTCATTGAAAGTAGTTTCCACAAAAACTCTCAAAATCTAAACGAAAAAAAATCTGACTTCTGAAAT